CTTTTTCTTTTTCGCCTGAACAGGGGCTCGAAACCCTGGACCCTCAGATTAAGAGTTTGCTGCACCGACTGAGCTGTCCCCACCTCCCTAATCGGGCACTTACTCAATGTCAGTTCCCTTCGTTACATCGAAATTTCGACGCCTAGCGATTTAATAAGGTAAAGAAATAGTTTTGATTCGGTTAATCGTGACAGAAGCGTTGTGCTTTCGCTTCACACTCGATTCTCGACTCGAGCCTGGAGAATGGAAATGCGGCGAACACGACGACAACAGCGTTGTCGGGCACGTTAGAGCAACTTAACGATAAATACGCTGTCAATTTATCTCCGACGACGGACCTGATGGATCTAACGGCGATGTGGGTTCTGTTTTCTGAACAAACGTAGATCTCGCTCGTCCTTCGTTACGACGTAATTTTTCAATAACTCTAAACTCTAAACAATTGCATAAACAGATTTGCGATAAAGGAATCACGCGAACTTTCCTTTTCTCTACGCTGTCGCATCGAACAGAGCAGACTATATAGGCACGTCTGGTTGTTTTCTCTTCTGCATACGTGATGAAATATCTTGTTTTCGTGGCCGAGATTCATGGAAATGAACCAACGATTTCAATTTTAATCGTTCGTTCTTCGAAGAACGAACGTGCACGTGCCGGCGTTACCACGAAGGAGAGAAATGTCAGTTTCATTCGACACATTACGGGGTGGAGTCGAGTCAATCTATTCTCCTCAAGGTTAATGTCGCGACCAGAGATAATACGCGGAGGTGGTACGAGATACTTTCAGTTAAATGCTATCACGTATCGGTGACATTAATATCGTGAAACGTTCGAACGATTTGTTATGAAAGTTTGACATTTGACGATTTGTTATTCCATGCCAGGATTTACAAATATGTAGTTAAGCGTACACGGGATTTCGCTGTATTTGAATTGAATCTGTTGATAATTGAAGTTTCTCAATAAATATATATATATATATATTTTGTATTACGAGATGCAGAGGATTTCTAGTAAAAGAAATTCATACGACGTATTTTCAATCCCTGGCAACATTATCTCCGCCTCTCACTCAAATTGAACAACATGAGCTGCGCAAACAATCCGCCGCGTCTCTCTCCAAATTTGCCATTCCTTTGTACGCGTTGCGGAAGGAGACTCTTGTTACTCGTCATCCACTCTTCGTTCCCGATCAGGACGAGGCGAAGGAAACACCTTCACCCATCGATAACTGTCAATGAAATCTCAATGTAAATCCATTTGATATTTGAAAATCTCTCGTTTCTTCGAGATATATACACAGGTGACGAGTTGAAAGTTAAAGTAGTTGAGTGACGCGTGTCGTCGATAGAGAGTCGATGGAGGTCACGAGAATGAGGAGATATCGGGCAAGGGTTATGGAATTGAACCGCCCTGTTAAGCCAATCGGCCTTTTAAACGAACCAAGCCCCGTTCTTTTGTCTAATTCTGGCGGTAAACAGGCGGCCGATTTGTCGTGTAGGCGATCACGCGACTGCGCGAGTCATCGCGCGCTTCGAGGCGCCGTTAATTATGACCGATACGCAGTTGTCGGCAGTGTTGCGCCAACAGCCGCGCCGTGAGTTTGCTTCTGGGCTGTTGTTGCTCCCCTTGTCGATGCGCCAATTGTTGCTACCGCCTTTCTCTTACTTTCTTTCTTTTCCATTTTCATCAATCAACCGGGCGAAGACGCGATGAGATCGACAATTTCCATTGGCCAAGATTGTCATCGTCGACGAACAAGCATCGAACAACAAGACGAGGCCGCACCAGTTTTAGGGGCCGTTTCTCGATCGATCAACTTCGCCCCGACGCTGTTGCAATTCTTCCCGACGAAGCAAGAGTCGTGAGAAGACGTTCGGCCGACCACGGCACACAGTGAGGAAAGTTTTATGTAATAAGTGTTGACCTAGAAAAAGTAGTGACCGGCACGGAGTGCCGCGGCGATTAGATAAAACGTACGCAGAAAAGTTGGAAACACGGCTGTCGGAATTCTGTAGAATATCGATAGTGGGGAAATGTAACGTTTCATTGATACGACGTTGTGCGTGCAAACTTCGGTACATTGTGCCGGGACACTGTTCCCCGTTTGCATGCCACGGATAAAGCCATAAGCGTACACACGACTACATATATATAGCGGTATATTTCGCGCGCGCATTTATGCGATATACAATGTGTCTTCTTAACTGTTTGATGGGTTTCCTCGAGCGAGAATAAGCGAGGACGTGCCAGGAGAATTGTTCGAGCTCCGTTCCTACGTAATGAAGTAAGTACCGCACACGTTATCATTTGATTCGCTCAACGTGCAAACAACGTTCGTGTTTCGTTTCCGTATCGACGCACGGAATAGGCCTACACCGAGTAGCCTTAGACTAGGTCAGATTTAGATCGCGAATAAAAAGACGATTACTACGGTTGTAGAACGATCGATGCAATTAACGAGTAATCTATGGCCCTGGCAAGATTAGTCTGTTAAACAGACGGTTTGTTTAGTCATCGATATACGACTTCTCTCTTCTCAAAACAATGCGTTATCGAGGCGTGAATTTTGCTGATGGTTTTTGCAGATGATCGATAAGATTTCGCGTCAACAATGGTTTATTTGTTTCGCGAGTCAGACAAAGATGTTTTCGCAAGTTAGCCTGTGCGTCGTCCATATCTGGAAAGCAAATATTTTCGTCCGATAGCCGTGACGTAGATCGCGTTCACAGAAAAACCATCGCAGTTTCAACCTTCCCCCCGTTTTTTCTTTTTACTTTTTTTTT